ATTCCAAGAGCACAAGTATTTTTAAAACCTTGCAAAGTGCCTGCAAGTCAGTTTCTGAGGTGAGTAATTGAGCTCATGCCCATTCCTACAGAATTACTAAAACTAGACATGCATTTGCTTTACCAAATTTAGAGGGCTCTTAGGGAACAGAAAACAACTTGTAAAATCCTTGCCACAAGTAGGTACAATGAATTAGGACAACCCAGTTTTATCAAAAGGTCCTGAATATGGTTTGCCTGTAGCCAAAATTTTCTAGTATCTGTTAAGTTACGTTTATTGTTGGCATGATGACTATTTCCATTTGTATAATACAAATGCATAATTTGTGATAAAGTCTGAGAGTATTCTGATTTAATTTTTACTTCTTTTTCAGCAAAAGGAAAAAATTGTATTTTTATTTATTTATTTTTGAGACAGAGTCTTGCTCTGTCACCAGGCTGGAGTGCAGTGGCACAATCTCGGCTCACTGCAACCTCCGCCTCCTGGGTTCAAGCGATTCCTCCGCCTCAGCCTCCCAAGTAGCTGGGACCACAGGCAAGTGCCACCACGCCTGGCTAATTTTTTTGTATTTTTAGTAGAGACAGGGTTTCACCGTGTTCGCCAGGGTGGTCCCGATCTCTTGACCTCGTGATCTGCCCAGCTCGGCCTCCCAAAGTGCGAGGATTACAGGCATGAGCCATCGCACCCAGCCAAAAAAATGTATTTTTAAAGTGTAGTATTACAAATCAACAGTTAATAGAGAAAAGTGGATGGTGTGGGTAGGGTAGTGAAATGACCCGACTGTAGGAAGGTCCATCTGTGAGTGAAGCCTGGGATGATTTTAAGACTGAAAAGGAGCTCCAGGAGTAAAGATCATATGGTAGTATATGTAAGTAAAAGTAAAGCAAGAGTCCAAGTTAATATTTTGGTAGTAAAATGGACAGAAAAATGCAGATATAAAAAAATCTTAGGCCTGGCATGGTGGCTCATGCCTGCAATCCCAGCACTTTGGGAGGCTGAGGTGTGCGAATCACCTGAGATTGGGAGTTCGAGACCAGCCTGACCAACCCTGTCTCTACTAAAAATACAAAAATTGGCTGGGCGTGGTGGTGCATGCCTGTAATTCCAGCTAATCGGGAGGCTGAGGCAGGAGAATCGCTTGAACTCGGGAGGCGGAGGTTGCGGTGAGCTGAGATCACCATTTCACTCCAGCCTGGGCAACAAGAGTGAAACTCTGTTTCAAAAAAAAATGAAGATAGAAACCAGAAGATAAGTAAAAGAGTTGAGCGTGTTGAAGGAAGAAAAGGGCAAGACCGTGGCCATTGCTGATGTCGATGAGAATAGTAGAAAGTTCCTAGCCTGGGTGCTTAGGATAATGGGGGCTTTCATTATGTCCGCTACCACTGCTGTCTAACAGAGGTTTGGTTGACTTGGGACAAGGCTGAAAAGATGGCCAAACAAAACTTGCTATGAGACAGTGTGACACACTAGAAAAATTGTGGGCTTTGGAGTTGGACACACTTGGATTAAAATCCTAGCCTCACTACAAATTTTATGTGCTGACTTAATATTGGGATTCTAAATAAAGATACTGATGTCTCATTTCGTGAATATAATTATTAGTGATACAACAAATGTAGCACTAACACAAGTACCTGGCCCATTATAGGCTCTATATAAAGAGTAACAATCAATTATTAGTAGTACTTTATTTGTTATAGTTTTCTTAATATATTTTAAAAGGAGGGTAAAGTTAAGTAAGCAGTAATAATTTGTTTAATGCATTCAGTTCAAAAAGGATAAGAGAATTATTGCTTCCATTGGTTAGGTCAAAACATCTTTGCAAATGTATGTGTATCTACTAGTAGATAGTTAGCTACTAGTAGATAGTTAGAGTGTATCATAGATACGCTCTTCTGAGAACTGTACTTTCATCATAACATCTAAATTTTAAATTCATGGTAAGTTCATTTTAATTAGGCTCCATTTCACCCTTACTTCTTGGTAGTTTTATATTGTCAGTAATTTATCAGTGTGTGTATTGGAGGGTATTATAAACATAAAATGTCTATTCTTTAGTAATGATGAAGATGGCAGTGGCTAGTAGAGTGCTATTTGGGTGTCATGTTTAAGATATATTTGACCCTGATATCATGGAAAACAAATTTAGCAAACATCTATTGAGCTCCTAATGTGTTATAAACTCAGATGGAAAGAGGGTATATTAAAATAAAAAAGACTTGCCTCCTGCCCTGATGGAATATAAAATATTTTTTTTCTTGTATAGCCGAAAATAATACATGATCAGTGCTCTAATGAGCGTTCTCATATAAGAGGAATAATGAATTCTGATGGAGAGGAAAGAGGTAGGGAAATTTTCCAGATGAGATAGTCATTGAGCTAAGCCTTGCAGGATGAGTTGGATTATTCCACTAGAATTTAGGGAAACGATGTGCAAGGAGAATAGCCTGTGTGTTAGTTTGAATGAAAGGTAGAGGTCTATTAGTGAGACGCCAAAAAACTTGACAAGGTGAGAAAATCATTTTCTTTGCCTTGCTATTTTATTAACCTGATTAATTTTGTTAATAGATAAAAAGAGAAATAATTCATGTTAATTATATTCACAGACACAAATAAGTAGCAAAAATATCAATTTATTATTTTACTGTAAGTACAGTTGGACCAGAAGACTCAAGCATAGCCTGTGGAATAGAAGGATACATTATTATATTAGTTGATTGGTAACCATTTTCTGATTTTACCTGCAATCTGGATTAGATTCCCTACTCAACTCTCTCTTAGTACCTGATGCTGGCTAATTATCTTCATTTTTTGTCTGGATTTAACTCTCGTGTAGTATCTCATGACCCTTGTTGAAGTTCATGAAAAACAAAGCACTTTCATATAGTTAGAGCACAGGATAGATGAATTGGAAATAGTAAAAAAGACAACAGAAGACAACCACATATAAAGAAAGAAAAATCAATCATACAAACATCAGGGTTCCCCCTCACAATCCCCTGGGGTTTTTGAGCCATGGCTTTTGACAAGTAGGTATTCTTTGTCAGTTTGGTCAGTTTGGGGGTTGTTCCTTTTGATTACTTATCTAGTTCTTAGTTTCTTATTCTCTGTCTAAAATTTTAAAGATGTTGAAAATTACTAGCAAACTATATGAAACTTATTAGCTGGAAATAATACAAATGGTGGAATTGGATTTAAAGAAGCTGCTATTATATTGCTCAGTTTCAGCTGGGTCCCAGATGACTAATCTTTGCCAATGGACAGATCAAGTGAAGAAGAATCTTCAGTCCTAATGAATCCTGTAGACTGAAGCACACTATGGAAGGCAGGGTCTGTCTTGCCTAAGGTTTTTGAAACCAGTAGGTCAATGCTGAAAATATTTTTGGAGGAAATTGGGCAAAGAGAAGATAGCAAATCTGAACTTGTACTATCCACCTAAGGGTCTCTGTGAACAATGAGATCACAAGTAGCTAGCCAAAACAGATGAGGCAAGGAGGCCACAGAACCACAAAATGGGTAAATAGGATGTGATCTGCACTGATTCCAGAGAGAGGACATACCTGCCGCAGCAAATATTTTTTTAAATTTTCAATGCATGACACACTATTGGATATCATGTGCAAATATTGAGAGCTATAACTTTTTATTATCAAAAAGCACTAGAGCACCTTTTTTGTGTTCTTATAAGCACTGTGAAGCTGCTTTTCCAGGGAGTCTTTCTTTATCAGAGTCTTAGAAAACATACACTGTAGTATAGATTATTTCACCAATTGTATCTGGGGGAAAGAGATGAAAACTACTGGTGTGGTCTCTGCTCCTTTATTTGACATACACCTCCTTTCATGAAATTCAGGGATTTCTTTGGAAAGAGAAGCATTTTTTATTATAAATCTCTCCTTCCTAAAAACGACATTACTGGCTTTTTTTTTTTTTTTTTTTTTTTTAAGGAGAGATTTGTAATATGCCAGGTTGAATTTGGGGGAAAACTACTGGTGTGGTCTCTGCTCCTTTATTTGACATACACCTCCTTTCATGAAATTCAGGGATTTCTTTGGAAAGAGAAGCATTTTTTATTATAAATCTCTCCTTCCTAAAAACGACATTACTGGCTTTTTTTTTTTTTTTTTTCTCTGTGAGGAGAGATTTGTAATATGCCAGGTTGAATTTGGGGGAAAAAAATAAAAAAGAGTTGAATGTTGGGCTATAGAAAGTAGATAATCCAGGAGATTTAATGAAATTATATATTTTTTAAATGTTTTAAGAGAGTTAGGAGAGTGAGTTTAGTATTTAATTAAAGGCAAAAACAGAAGAACCTGTGTTTGCCAAACAAGATATACCAAGTGAACGTGTCAGTCTTTAAAGACATGAATTGATTCTTATGGAATTTGGATATATTTAAACAGTGCACCTTCTTCATGACAGTGCTATCAGGTATTTGAATTTACATTACCAATTTGGAATTCAACCCGATTTCATTTTCTTCCCTAAATCTCAACATGTGTATTACATTATTTGGCGTGCCTTTAATCTTAAATTTACAAAGAAGTTACTATCAACACAGGTGTTCTGAGTCTGGAGTGGAACTCTTTAAATAGATTGGATCTTTAAAGTGGTCTGGTATTTGTTTAAAAGGGTACATTTTTATATTTGGGGTGTGTTATGAACTTTGCCTTTTAAAATAATGCAAAAATGCTCTACGCTATTCACTGTCTTTTCAATTTTGTTCTTGTTTGGAAAAAAGGAGGAAGTAGTTACTACTTAAGGCCAAGTATTGGTTTCAGATGCACGCACGCACACAACACACACAGAAATCCACAGCTGCACTTAGGGAATTTAGGACTGGTTAATTTACATATTATTTAAACGTATTTTCTGACTTCAGACTCCTGGTTCTAATAACTAGGCGTTTACATTTGCAATATTAGCTTCTATGGGAAGAGAGCGTTCTCCCTCTTACTCGTTATTTCCACCTTAAAACATCTGCAAAGGCTCCAGGGGAGCCGCCCACACTTGAGCCCCTCCCACCAGGACAGGCTTCCTCCGAGTCCGGAGCTGAGAAGGGACCCCGACCTACCGCCGGAGGCATTGAGGACCCGAGGACTCTCAGGTAACTCCGGGAACCGTAAGCCGCGTTTACTCTTTCCCTGCTCCCTGCTGTCTCCCACCCTCCTTAGCTTCTGCTTGGAAGGAAGAAAGGACGGAGGGGAAACCTCGCTGCTCTAAGAAGTCAGCAGGTCCTCTGCCTTTTGAAATAAAACACACATTAGGGACCTCAGTTTTCTTCTAAGCCACGCAGATTTGCCTTCCCGGGTCTAAATGCACCGTGGAGTCCAAGGATAAGGTGTTTCTTTGGGTTGGAGTCCCAGAAAGTTAGCGTTCAAACCGGCAGTGAGGTGGCGCTTATTAGCGTTCCACGTGATGACACCCAGCGGGTACTGGTCCCGAACTCGTGCAGCAGCACGCGGGGCTGTTTGACAGCCCTAGCGATCTGGATCGACACACTTTGTCGACCCAACTTTTAATTTCTAAAAATTGGTCATTTTGGTTACTTAAGGAAGGTTTTCCTGGCTATTTAATATTTTGCAGAATTATGCGAAAGAAGATTATTGAAAAATTAATTGTAAACGGACTGGTGTTCTGATGATCCGTCTTTCCCTAATTTACTTGGCATGCCAGGAGAAAGAAAAGCTCAAAACTAGATACTTGAAAAGATTTAATCAAATTATATAGTTAAATTTGAGTGTGGATATTTTAGTATTAAAAAAACAGAAAAAGTGATTTGACTTTGAAGTATCAGTGGATGAATGTATCTGTCTCCTATAATTTATAATCATTTTAGTCTTAAAAATAAATTCGCCTACAAAAATAAAACAAGAAATACTCCTTATATGGGTTGATGATGTCAGCACTTGTTCAGCTAAGGCAGATGGAGTCTTGGAGGTGTACTGTTTGAATGAGTGTCAATTCTAAAGTTATATTTGCCCATATAATTGGGGTTCGAGGAGGATTTGTATTTTTGTTTCTCTTTGTTGCGTAAATTTGGCATTGTAGTTCAAGGGATATTTGTAGAGGTTTGTAGTGAAACAAGCTCTGTTAAGAATTTTAAAGTTACATTCTAGAGGTCCCTATACCTTGCCAATCAAGTTAAAGGTTGGGATAAGAAACAGGTATTTACTTCTTTCATTGAGCTCCGGAAGAGTTAAATTTTAAATTAAGCAATAATTGTGAAATGCATACAGAAGTGTTTAATGTGCATTTGCTCAAAGTCATTTTACAAACTTCCCATAGGGGAAGCATATTTTTTGAGATAAGGCATTGCATTTTTTAACGTACGTTTAAAAAGTAAGTTGTTTTGGCGGGCGCAGTGACTCATGCCTGTAATACCAGTACTGTGGAAGGTAGAGGCGGGTGGATCACCTGAGGTCAGGAGTTCGAGACCAGCCTGGCCAACATGGTGAAACGCTGTCTCTACTGAAAATACAAAAATTAGACGAGCATGGTGGCATGGACCTGTAATCCCAGCTACTTGGGAAGCTGAGGAAGGAGAATCGCTTGAACTCGGGAGACCGAGGTTGCGGTGAGCCGAGATGGCACCACTGCACTCCAGCCTGGGCAATAGAGCAGGACTCCATCTCAAAAAAAAAAAAAAAAAGTCATTTTGAAGTATTTTGCATTTATATTTAATTAGGAAAAGAAAAAAATCATTAAATAGATTTTTAGCAACTTTTAAAAATGTTCATTTTATAGAGGTTATCTGGCTTATGTTTTTAACCCATTATCTTTTCTAGTGCTGCTACTTAGAAAGTAGTCATAAAACCAAATCATCTATGTATTAGAAAATATGTTCCAGGAATAAAAAAGAGGAAGACAGTATTAGTTGTGGTTCCCTTTCCTCCTGTTTGCTTTTATTTACTGCTAGTTTTTTTCCCTTCTTGCTTGCAGATATTATAGCTTTAGTTATTTTTAACCTTTCCTCCCTCCCTCCCTCCCTCCTTCCTTCCTTTCCTTCTTTCCTTTCCTTCTTTCCTTCTCTTTCTTTTTCTTCCTTCCTTTCTCTCTCTCTCTTTCCCTTTCTTTCTTTTTTCTGTCTTTCTTTTGTTCATTTTTTTCTTTCTTTTCTTTTCCTTGCTTTTTTGTTTCCCATCAAAGACACTTTCACAATCTTGTGACAAGTATGGACCCCTCCCTAGAATAATGCCCATTATGCCATTCCAACACACACAAATTTAAAAATATCTTTAAGAAGTTCACAAATCACCAAAGACAATTCATATTACATAAAAATGCGGTATTTCTTAGAACTTTGGACTTTTCTGATAATATAAAATTATTAATTAGAAAATCATTTTACTTATAAGTAAGGAACTAACAGTGGATATTGCAGCACCCACAGAATTATTGTATTCATTGGTATTCTAGAACTCCAAGCAACTTAATGTAATGGAAAAAACTGCTTGCCTGGAAACCAAGTGACCTGGGTTCTAGACTCAACCCCAATAATAATTAACTGTACAATATTACACTTTACAATTTTCTATAACACCTGTTTTTTTGTTGTTGTTGAATGCAGTAAGTGAAACATAATAGGAAAATCAGATGTAAGTTATTTTTATTAGATTGTGGGGTGTCTATATTTACTAATTTTATTCGAAAATTCCTAATAAAATTTCCCAGAATGATTAGTTTTTATATTATTGTTTATTATAAAGATAAATCACACTCACTGTTTAAAATTTTGTTATAGAAAATTACAAGGAAGAAAAAGAAAATATTACCTGTTATTACCCCCAGGTACTTTTAGAATGTAATTCAATCATTAATTCAATCAATAAATATCTATTGAGTACCCAGTATGCATCAGCACAGAGACAGACAAGAAGTTCATGTATATGCATGTTTATACATCTAGATATTTTTCTATACATATACTTACATGTAGATTTACAAAATTGTGATCATACTGTTCATGCTGTTTTGTAACATGCTTCTCCCTTATTCATGAAATATGCCATTAAAACATGATTTTTAAATAATCATGTATTATTTTTTATTCACATCTTTTAAAACTATTATTAAGTCCCTACTGTGTGTAATGCAAGTAATGGCAATCTATCAATGAACAAGAGAGTATGGTTCTTACTATATGAAATTTTTAGTCTGTATGTAGGTTGTATTGGCCAATTATTTGTTGTTGACTGTTTAGATAGATTACAGTTTTCCACTATTATAAATAATTGTTGGATATTTAGATTGATATCAGTTTTCCTCTATTATAAATAATATTTCATCTAGAACTTTTTATATGGATGTTTGTATTAATTTTTGTTTATTTACTTAGATTCTTAAAAGTTTATTTTCTAGGTTCTAACAAAAATTTTACTACTTAACAAGTTGTGAGACGATAATCCAATTACTTTATCTCCTTGAAATGCTGTCTTCTTAACTGTAAAATAGAAATAATAATTATTGGATATTTTGAGGATTCTCAAAAATAATTAGCAAAATCTCATGGAATGCTAGTGATTATTTTTGACATTTTGCTCTTGAGGAATATGGTATCCATTTAAGAGCAATATAAGAGAGTAGAGTTTTCTATGTCAATACCAAGTGTCATCATCAAACAGAACAAATGACAACAAATCTAACAACTTGGATAATTGTTATATGAAAATGATATCTTTTTAAAATTTACATTTCTTTCTTAAAGTTGAACAATTTTCATAGTGGCCACTTACATGTCTATGTTTGTGACTTGCCTCTTTCACTGTGATTTTTTTTAAACTTCTGTTTTAATTTCAAATATGGTAGATATCAATGGATATGACTTACATAGTAATAGCACTTTTGGGGTCCCCAGTAACTTTGAAGAATATTAAGAATCTTAGCAATATAGATGAAATTTTGAACTGGAAGTAGAAATTCTATAGACTTTGTTTTTCTCAGTTTTGGAGGGTTATTTTTAGTGTTTCCTGAAATTTTTCCCTTAAAAATGGGCAAGAAAAAATGAGAGTAAAGTATTTTTATTCTGAGAGACTAATAGTTTACAAAAGATGGGAAAACTGAAGAGAGTTCAGAGATGATGGCCAAAACTTAGCCCCAGAGACATCTGGCCCGAATAATGTAAAGAAGACATAATTTGGACTAAGGGTGGTGTGATGACTGTGTATAAATATAAAGTTTTGTAAGGCTAGGTACAGTGGCTTACACCTGTAATCCCAACACTTTGGCAGGCTTGAGCCCAGGAGTTTGTGATGAGCCTGGTCAACACAGCAAGATTAATTAAATTTAAATTTAAACAAAATCAGCTGAGTATAGTGGCATGTACCTGTAATCCAGCAATTTGAGATGCTGAGGCAGGAGGATCATTTGAACACAGGAGTTTGAGGCTGCAGTGAGCTCTGACAGCACCACTGCACTCTTCTTTACATCATTCAGGCCAGGATGTCTCCGGGGCTCAATTTTGGACATCGTCTCGGAATCCTCTTCAGTTTTCCCATCTTTTGTAAACTATTAGTCTATTAGAATAAAAATAATTTACTCTTATTTTTTTTCTATGCATTCTCACCCATTTTTAAGGGAAAAGTTTCAGGAAACACTAAAAATAAGACTCCAAAAATGAGAAAAACAATGTCTGTAGCATTTCTACTTCCAGTTCAAAATTTTGCCTGGGTGATGGAGCAAGACTTTGTTTCTTGTTCAAAAAAAAAAAAAAAAAGTTTTGTGAGGAAAATAATATTCTTGGGGTTGTGAACAACCAACTTAGAGAAAATGAACTTCGGTTCTGGCCAACTCCTTGTCTTCCACCCCTTGACTAGTAGGACAATATAGAGTTGGGGGAACAGAAGGAGGCTTCCGAAGTTCTTTCAAAAGAAGACAGCAAATAGATCAGAGGTTATTCTGGTCTTGTGATACCATTACTTGTCTGATAAAAAAGGATGCATTATATATTTGCTGCTCTTGCTGTGTGATTCTAAGTTTTTTTTATTCTTTGTGATTCTTAGTGCAAATCTTACAACATACCTTGAAAATAGTTTACCTTTCCTTATACAAGAATAAAATAAGCATAAACAACTGAATGCTCACCATGAGCAGGTTTATAAAGTTACC